TAGAAGCCATATGCTTAACTTGGCACATTTCAAAGATGATTCCAGTCCCAATGGTACTTCGCCATCCCTGACTCCTTTTCGCATACTATTTATCCATTCAAAAACTGACCTTTTCACTGCCCAGCATGGGATTTTTCCACCTGGATCCGCACTTATGCTTTGTTCTTGGAGGAGAGACTGGAATGCTTTCGTGTGTTGAAATATGACGTTGAGATGGATCGCCCAGTAAGAAGTTTATTTCTTTATGTCATATTTCTTTTGCTTATTCTTCCATTTCCAATTATATAAGTTTCGTCTTAGGGAAGCAATAACAAATTAGCAATCACCTTTTACATCAATATATATGGCACATTGACATTTCAAACCGTTTGATTTATCAGAACCTCATTTTCCTGCAGTTGCTTTTATTTTTTCCCTCAAAGCTGTATTGCTACTTTTTATTCATACATTCAAGTCATATTCTTGTCCCTAAGCTTCATTGCAACTAAATAGTTAACATTGTGGCGCAGAGGACCAAAGATCTGGATACTGCCGAATTGCTTGAGCATTTGTCTGCCCTGCAACAACTTCTTTTTCGTGTACTTGGTTGCCAGGCAAGTTTTATATATCAGCACTTCAAAATCAATGGGTTTATGCTGTGGGGCCACTATATGTTTAAACATGAATATGGGTTCAAGCAAGTGTTGATTATCCAAATAACGTTACCTTTGATGGGTGACACTATATTTCAATTAATAGAACCAATTTTATTTTGCAGCCGCAAGGGGCAGCAGTTCATAATTTTGTGGTTCAGTTAGCACTCTCAATGGTAAGTGACCCTTGCAATAAATTCTTGCTGAATGACTAGCCAATATGTTTTATTTTCCTCTGAATGTCTTCCATCGTAAAATCAGGTTGCTTCTGAAAGCATCAAGATTTATCAAGCTATAAGTGATGGAACAGTCAATTTGGTTGACAAGGTAGGATATGATCTTTTGCTATGTAGGAATATAACATTTGGAGCTTGCACTATAAGCTAATTGTGTACAATGATGATTAATACCACAGTTCTTTGAGATGCAACGCCATGATGCTATGAGGGCGCTGGACATATATCGGAGGGCAGGACAGCAGGTAGTTTTTCGGGGAATATATTGGTGGGGACCGGGAAGTTATTTTATGTATCAACATTTAAATTTCCGTCTACATATTTCAGGCAGAGAGGCTGTCAGAGTTTTATGAAGTATGTAAAAGTCTTGATATTGGACGTGGAGAGAAGTTTACCAAGATTGAGCAGGTGACTTTTTGCTTGCAGACCCTTTTTAGTACACATTGCATTCCTTGGATAATTTTAATTTTCTCAACTTGATTTCATTTTGGGTGAGGTAGCCCCCTGCATCGTTTTTACAAGCCATGGAAGAGTACGTGAAAGAAGCTCCTCAGTTCTCAACAGCTCGCAAGGATCAGGTATGATTTGTATTGAGGTGCTGCCTCATTAATTCTGTTATTTTGGAAGAGATTTGCAATGTAACCTGATCAGGAAAGCAAATAGTGGATCATCAGATGTCCTTATTAGCAAATACTATGGGGACCTGTTTGATTTACCTAAGCAGTTCAAACAAAAAAAAAAAAAAAATTCCGGATCCAAATTCGGCTTTTAGAAGCTGTTGGCTTTCACAAAATGATCAGATCCGAAAATACTCACACAAACCAACTCTACCAGCTGATAAGAATTGATGATGTATTGGCTGCCTGCTTTATGTACATGCAGTTTGCAACAATTTCCTTCAAGTGTAATCTTTAACCTGGCAGGTGGTTGCCCCCAAAGAAATCTTGGCTATAGAGTACAAAAAGGCCCCGGAGGAGGAGGCACGTCCACCTTCACCACCTCTACCTGAACCAGTGAAAGTTGAACCAGTGAAAGTGGAAGCACCTGTAGCTGAACCGCCTGATTTGCTGGTAATTCACATAATCCTTTGTTAGTTACTTTCCCTTGAATTTTGGCATCCTGTCGTCCCTCTGAAGTTTAATCATGTATGCCATACTTTGTTGCTAGGGTTTGAATGATCCTGTTCCAAATACTAAAGAGTTGGATGACAAGAATGCACTGGCTTTAGCGATTGTTCCAGTTTGTAAGTTCTCTCTCTCTCTCTCTCTCTCTCTTAAACATGCACAAATCTTCTTGGTTAAGAAGAAAATTATAATAAATTTTATTTTCTGAAATGCTATTGTGGTTCTTGTAGCGGACCAACCAACATCCACAGCTCCAACTCTAGAAAATGGAGCTACAGGTTGGGAATTGGCACTTGTTACAGCACCGAGCTCAAATGAGAGCGCCGTGGCTTCTAGCAAACTGGTACTCTTCTCCTTCTCCTACCAATTTCCCTTCTCGTATTGTTTACGCGTATGGAATTTAATTGGCCAGTATTAGTGTATAGTTAGTTACAAACACATTTTTTGTTCTTATACTATCACTACACTTCCTTTCTCTTTTCTTTTTTATTTCCCTTAATGTACGGACACTGCTGACACCATTCAAATGTTGAGTGAAGGCGGGAGGGTTAGACTTGCTTACACTAGACAGCCTATATGACGATGCAATCAGAAGAAACAATCAGAATGTGAGCTACAACCCATGGGAGCCTGCTCCGGTAAATGGTACCATGATGCAACAACAACTTCACGATCCCTTTTATGCATCCAACGGAATGGCTGCACCGCATTCTGTGCAGATGGCAGCAATGGCGAACCAGCAGCAGGCCTTCATGTTGCAGCAACAGCAGCAGCAGCAGCAGATGATGATGATGATGGGCCAACAACAGCAACAGTCTATGAATCCTTTCGGAACTCCTCACGGAGCCCCTACCCACCCCTACGGCCCCGGTGTCCCTGTCCAAGCATACAACCCATACGCAGGCCTTTTATAGACGATCCATCCAAACAACAGATTTTTATCAAGAATTACAGCCGCGGAAAGAACAGGACGTGAAAGAATAGTCAGTTTTAGCCGTTGAGGCATCCGAAATTCGGAGGGAGACGTGTACCATATGTTTTGTATGTGCCGTGGTTAGCTTAGGATTAAGATTCTTTGTTAAATAAACAGTCGGAGGGAGGAGTTGGAGCTATTTGGCCATTTGCGTTGACGATCGAAAATTATGTTATTTGGATCGACGGCGACTTGAGTAAATTCTTTTGACCTGCGCAGGAGATCTTTGTGTATGTTTTCCTTTCTCTTTTCCTCCCTCTACCGATTTGGTCCTTCAAGCATCTCTATGAGAGAAATTATTTGTAAAATTTGTGATTGTTGATAGATATTATGTATGTAACAATGATATACATGAAATTTGAGTTTTTTTTTTAATCCTTTGGATGCGGTCCCTAACTACCAATGTTTGCCTGACATTAATGTAATAATGTATTTCTACGTAGATTATTATATTTTTAAATTAAAAGTGAAATTTAAAGTTATTTATTAATGAGATTTTAAATAGAACCCATAATTATGGGATTAAAAATATTAAAGATGAATTATACTCCTCAATATATTGTATCAAAATTAACCAAAAAATTATTGTATCAAAACATGGGTACATTTTTCAAAAACACAAAAGAAAGGATATTAGACTTAATAACATTATTAAATTTCTTCTATTAAACTTGACATGGATACATTATCAAATAAACGAAATAGAATGTACCCATATAAGTTTTAAAAATGGATTAGAGAAAAGATTGAATGAAATTTTATATAAAAAATGGGCACATTTTATATTAAAAAAAAGGGTACATTTTTAACAATTTGTTATATTTAAGAATGGATACATATAAGATTAAAAAAAATTTATGGGTACAAACTTATTCTAATTTAATTTTTTATATTTGTGAAATGTTTGAATTGAAAATTAATTAGGAGTTTACTAAGGGTGTGAGTATTAGAACTCTAAATCAATTACTAATTTTTTTTATATAAAAATTATGTAACTTACATGTAATTCATTAATATATTAATGCTAGGGACTTTGATCAAAATCTAAAAACTAATAAAGTCTTAGTTAATAAACATTATAAACTAGGGACCGGATCCTTTTTTTTTTGGGTCAAACGATAGATTTTGTTAGATTAGATATTAGGTTAATCACTGACGATATTTGAACTCACGTTCTCATGTAAGAATTCAACACTTTTCCATTGCTGTGGTAAAGGGCCCACTTGCCCTAAAATTTGATTTGGTTATTTGTATTAAGTATTATACAATGAAAATGTTGTTCATTTGTGATCGAAATGTCATAGTTTGAATCGTAGAAACGACCACTTTACACAATAAGTTTAAGGTTGTGTACTATATAACGTTCCCACTTTGAACCCTCATAAAGCGGAGAGCTTTGTTGTTGGCTTGGAGTCGCCCGCAAACCATTCTATTCCTCCTCGTTGCTAATCACAAATGACATACTACAATGGCTTTTATTATGGTATAATTACTTTTTTGGATTGTTTAATTCACTAAACCGAATTGAAAACGTGTTATAACTTGTAATTTGTGTGAAAGTTATACGAAGAAATTTGCAAAACCAATTAAAAACTTTTGAGTATATACAATTTTTGTAAAAAATGTAATTAAGAAGTCTTACCGTGATTCACAGAATTGTTTATGAAATAAAAATCAATAATGGTGCTGAAAATAATTAGAACGAACTTCTGTCGATATGGACATCTTTGAAAGCTTTCTTTAAATATCTTTTAAATATATACGTGGATAGATATATATTTAAAAGATATTTAAAGAAACACATGATGCGGCGAAATTCTTATGTAAATAGATTTTACAATGATTTTTGTGGAATTTCACAAAACTAGTAAAAATCACGAGTTTTCGCTCACAATTTTTGTGAAAAATGAGATTTTTTTTTAAAATTTCATTAGATATTTTGCAATATATGTGTGTGTATATATATATATATAATTACAAATTCAAAAAATAAAAAACAAAAATACAAAAAAAATGAATGAGCTTTTTCTTCAGCACATCATGTCGCTGATGTTCTCACAACAATAAATCCAAAAAGAAAGCAATTCAATTCAATTCACCAAACAATGTCTTGGCTCTTCAGCTCTCCCCGCCAACCAGAAGACGACGACGACGACCAGCGTGATGTAGAACCCAAGCAACCCCAAAACGACCTGTCGTTTCTCAGCCAAACCCTCGGCCGCCAACTCCGCGGCGTCGCCACCTTCCTCGCTCCACCTCCATCACCGCCATCCAACGACGCCCTTCCCTCGTCCAATTCCCAGCCCCAGTCGCAATCGCAATCTCAATCGCCGGCGCTTTTGGGAATCCGGAATGATCTGGTGGAGATCGGCGGGAGCTTCAAAACCGGCCTCTCGCTGCTCTCTACTAACAGCAACAAAGCCGTCACTGAGATCTCCAAGTTCGCTTCGGGCTTGTTGCAGCTTCAAAACGAAGCTTCAGAAGAAGGTGGAGCTGATGATGACGGCGACGATGGCGGCGGTCACGTGCCGGGGATCACGGACGAGGTTCTCGGTTTCGTCACCGATATTTCGGTGATGCCGGACTGCTGGACCGACTTTCCAATGACGCTCGATCATGGTAAAGTTGCTAGCTTCCACTTCAAATTGAATGCAATGTTAGTTTTGCCTACTTTCTTTGTGTCTATTGCTTTAATTTTCTTATGAAGTTGTGGATTGTGAATTGAAAGATCAAGTTTCTTCGGAGGAAGCTTTGAGTTTGTTCTGAAGATATCGAAATTTACTGGAAATCTGTTGCGCATTCGCTGTGATAGTTTTTGTTCGATTTGATTTTCGTGTTCTAATTGTGTAATGTTAGATACCGGAGTTGGTATCGGAGACCTCTGAATCTGTTTGTGATTGCGATACAACGATTGACAAGATAACTGAAACAGACTGAACAATTGGTTCTTACAATCTTATGCTTGTTGGTTTTGATTTTGTGCTGGTTTTATTGCAGATTTCAGCATGTCGGATGCTCAGAGAGAGCATGTGTCCGCTGTTTTACAATTGGTTCCGGGATTTGCAGATCTAAGAGCCCGGCTTTGCAATTCCATGAGTGAGGAGCAATTTTGGATGATCTATTTCTTGTTGTTGCTCCCGAGACTAAACGAACATGATTTTGAGCTTCTAGCAACGCCCAAGGCAAGAAGTTTATCTTTCTCGTCTTTTGTCACGCTTCTTATCCGTATTTACATGTCCAATTTTCTTTTGAGGACACTTTGGAAGTTGACTTTTATACAGAATTCAGCGCGCGTTTGTCTTCATAAATTCAATTTACTATATTTGGTATATTGATTTCAAGGTTCTACGATAGCCATTCTAACCGCAGCTTGCATAAGTGAGAGTTGAGATATGGGCATGATGTGCATAACCCGTCACCAGTTGCTCTTATACAACTTCGTTTGATGTTGTAGTTTGTCTCTCCCTTGTTCCTCATATTTGTTATACGTTTTAACTCTTAACTTAGTAGCCGATTTTATAGCATCATAGAACTTTGGATGTGTTCAATTCCACTTTGCAGCTTCGGACACTACTTGTAGCACTATTTAAAAAATAGAACTTCTTTCTTTGCAGATTGTTGAAGCAAGAGACGTACTTCTGCACAAACTGCATAACAAGAGGAACACACGGGAGGATGCCCCAGAGAAGTCAATTCTCGTTTCACCTAAAAATCACATCCAGGATGGGAAGACACAAGGGGAGGGAAGCTCATCTCAAGAAAAGGAAGCCTCGACTGAAATACTTAACACGACAGAAAGGTTAAAGACCGATGACGAAGAGGGCACTGAGCAGTGGTCTGAAGGTGCAAGTATTAGCTCTGGCACTTTTGTGGATGGCCAAAGAAAACACGAACCTGAAGACGATATCTCATTCAGCGATTTAGAGGACGAAGAGAATGACGTTTCTAGTAGACAATCAGGACTAAGGCAAGGACCGTATGCCAGGGCATGTTCACCCAATGGATCAAATGATTGGGTTCAGCTGAATCGAAGCTCGGAAAACGAGGGTGGCCGGCAAAAGGCTGGTCGGTCAAAGGGGAAAGATTCAGAAGGTGAGGATTCAAGTGACTGGCTTGCGGTAGATGAATATGATTAGACAAAATTGGCAGCAGCTTGCTTGCCAATTGAATTGTAAAGTTTCGGTTTCTTCTTTTCGGTTTTTCGGGTCGGGTGGGCTGGATTGTGTACTTATATGTGTATCAGCATCTTATACAAAGCTTCCTTGTTGAAATTAATAAAGCAAATGAAGTCTATTTCAAAATTGCCTCTTATTTGTTTAATTATGGAGGGAGTTTTGATATCGAGTGCAAAATGCACACTGCTCTGATCAACTGGGTTAAATCTCGTGCGCTCTTACCGCAGTTACTTAAAACACGTACAAGCAATGGTAAAATTGTAACAAGCATGGGATTGGGAAGCCTTTTTTACCCATTAGAAACACGAATCAATAAGAAACAAAAACCACGAAAAACCATCCAAAAAATCGATTTGAAATTCCGCCATTACATAAAAACGAAGAACTACAAAGCTAGTAAATTTCACTTTACACTATATATTCTACAAAATCCTCTGAATTCTTCCCCAAGTAAATTATACATGTGAATTTGAATTTCTAGGTTTCGGAAAGTAAATTCGACACCAACTATAAATGATAACGCCTCATGATCTGAAGCAGGGGCAAAGATTCTGTAACAATCTGATGCAAAACGGTACAAGTTTATATCGGACACCTACAACAACAGTCGATGCAGCGAAGATTCGAGGCCAAATGGAATTTCTGAAGCAGGGGTAAAACTTCTAGGAGAGAGCTGCTATCTTGGATATTAAACAAAACACCGGTCCAAACCCCGAGCCTTTGTTGAATGGTTAGTAACCCCGACCTGCAACAAAACACGAGGGGATAAAGAAGAGGAAAAGTGAGAGCATGACATGTTAGCTCGTTCGAAAAAAACATGTTACCACACAGAGTTGTCCATCTTTTACTTACGCAAATAATCTCTAGTAACTGTCATGGTCTTGACATGAGGAAGTTCTTTTTCTAACCGAGCAAAAGTAGTAATCACATTAATTCCCTTCATCACAACACACACTTCCTCCAGATTGGGAACCCTTTCGAAAGAGAGCTCTGTATCATCACCCTTATAATGAAAAATGGTAAGATTGGTGACACTGAGTTCAATCCCCTTTAACCCATCGCAGAGGCTCACCGTCAGTACCTTCAAACGATGAAGAGAATCACCAAGGCACAACCTTTCTAATCCAAAACACCATTGCAATGTTAAACGCTCAAGGTTCAAACAAGAAGAAAACATGCGTGGCTCAACGGGTCCAGCAAGATTAACATCGCACAACACAAGAGTGGATAAGGTTCTAAACCGATCACTAAAATCTGACCAGAGGGTGACTGAGCGTAATGAAAGGTGCCTTAGCTTGGATTCTTCACCGTGCAAAAAGAGCTGAGTAGGAAAAGGATAATAGTCAACGGTTCTCCAATCATGGCGTTCAGCTGGTTTGTCACAAGTAAAGGCAAGATCGAGACTTTCAACACCCTTTCTAACGGCAAAAATGATCCAGTCAGTGATTCGATGAGCATACATACTGCCAAAGCAACAGGAAACCTTGAAGGAGACAACCTTCGTGCCCAAATGGCGCGCTAAGAATCTGTCTATTATTCCTAGAAAATGACGCACATAACCCTTGGGAACAGTTCCACAATTGTAGTTGACTGGTGTGGGGGTTATGTTATGCCAATCGAACTCAAGATTTGATATGTATGCATACATGTTCTTCCACCTGCGTGATAATACACTCGTACGCACAGCATCCCTCATACTCAATAACAAGATGATGGTATAAAGAATATCATCTGGCAGTTTACTGATGTGATCATTGCCACTAATCTTCCACTACATGATTACAGATCAAATATCAAAGTCAGACTCATCTCTTAATCAACAAAAAAACTGACAATAGCAACTAATTCATTTTCTTATACAATGATATTCTACTCCAACGGGTAGCCCGGGTGGGTGATTTGTGCTAAGCTACACAATGGACCGACAATTAGTGGCTAATTTTAATCCTGGATGGTGAATTACTCCTAAAATTACAAATTGTAGCTCAACCACTTACAATTTAATGGAAAATTTGTAACTTTCACATGAAATCCAATCATCTCAATTTGTTCCAAACGAAATACACTTCCAATCATTAATTTTGTCTTCTGGGGTTCTACAAAATCCTGTTTTTCTTCGAACTCGACCTAAACTTGCTAAAGAATTCAGGAAAAAATAAACAAATTTATTGAAAATTGACCACAGAATTCCCTTTCAAATACACCTGATTTAATCCAAGTACAGATCACACACACACACACACACACACATATTTCAAATTAACAAGTGAAAAAATAAAGTACCTTTCTGGGAGAAGACTGCCGTTGTGGTTGAGTGGCAGGTACCCCGCGCTGTCTCTTCATGATTTCGGTCTTCAGAGAGCTCGGATTTTTACAACGGAAGCTCTCAGAACCCTAAGCCCTAATGCAATTTTGCGTTTTAGGGTTCGGGGCTCCGACGAACTGAGCCAACAACAACTAAGCCCTAATCTTCATCTTCCCCCAAATCAGAATTTACGTTCGTCTGTGAGACAAGTGTCCCATCTCCATGCTACCGTGTGCCCGCCACTATGCACACAATTTCTTTGTAGTTTCCCAAATCTCGTTTTATTAAATAAAAAAACAGTATTTAGTCGATGATAAATGTTTGGCTACTAAAAAATGAGTAGAAATTTTTGTTCACATAAATCTATTCTAATAATCGAAACCATTCATATATTAAATTATTCTGTAAAAATCATCCATGCCAAAAAAAAAAACTTAAAAGTAATATTGTTAAGTGAATCAACTGTAGTAAATAGATAGATAGTTGTCAATTTGTAATGTTTTTACCATTCCCGTCCATATGTTCTTATACAATTCGGTTACTAAGACTTAAATTTTAATTGATTGTTTTGCATATATACATAATCTTTATAAAGTAATTTATAATATGAACAATTTTCATCATAAACACGAAGATTTATGAATAAGAAATGAGTTTTAAGTAAAAGCTCACTCAATGTATGAGTAGCCAAACACTATTCTTAGTCGACAAAAAAAACCCACAAAGTTTCTCTTTAGTTGTCTCCTTTTGTTTTTTTTACTCACAAAAAGGGTTTTGAAACGAAAGTTGACTGAACCCAACTCATGCGAGAGAGTTGTCTTACGCACAATCCTATCTTAAAATCTCTTCCTAATAAGGCTCATTGAATGGAATAAGCAATTCACAATCCAAAAAACTGCTACCACCACACAGACTCAGTGCCATTAGACTCTTGTTTTCTTTCCCCTCCATAACACATTGTACATGTCAAACTGCATATGTATCCGGATTTTGGAAAGTAATTTAGACAGCAACTACAAACAAGTACGCCAAGTAATCTGAAGCCCACAAAGCTTCTTCTGCAACCACAATTAGATGCAGCGAAGGTTCGAGGCCAAATGGAATATCTGAAGCAGGGTTAAGAGCTTCTAGGAGAGAACTGATACATGTATATATACACACGCATATATATATATGGATATCGAAAGAAACACCGCCCCAGATGCTGAGCCTTGGTGAATGGTCAGTGACCTTAACCTGCGACGAAAGACAAGGGGAAAAAGAAGAAAACTGAGAGCACGTGAAGTTAATCTGTCGAAAAACCAAGTAGCCATTCGGAGTTTTCCATGTTTTACTTACGCGAACGAATGCTGGTAACTGTTAATAGTCTTGACATGAGGAAGGAAATTGTTTCTCTAACCGAGCAAAAGTAGGGATCACATTAACTTCCTTCATCGTAACATGCACTTCCTCCAGATTGGGAACCGATTCGGAAGAGAGCTGTATGTTATCACCCTTGTAATAGAAACTGCTGAGCTGGGTGGCGCTGAGCTCAATCCCATTTACCCCTTCGCAGAGACTCACCACCAATGCCTTCAAGCGACGAAGAGAATCATCATTGCAACAATCTTCCTAATCCCAAACACCGTTGCAGTGTCAAATACTCAAGGTTTAAAGAAGAGAAACATACGCCCGGCTCAACATGTCCAGCATCAAGATTTACATCGCAGAACACGAGTCGATTACTGAAATCTGACTCAAGCATGCATCCGCGCAAGGAAAGACACTTTAATTTGGATTCTTCACGGTGTAAAAGGATCTGAGCCGGAGAAAAGTCAACGGTTCTCCAGTCAGCGCGACCAGCTCGGTTGCCAGTAAAGGTCAAGATTTTCGACACCCCTTCTAATAGCAAAACTGGTCATTGAGTTGATGAGCCCGCTTACTTTCAAAGAAGCAGGAACCTTGGAGACAACCTTCGTGCCCAAATGACAGGCTGAGAATCTGTCTATTTTTGTTAGAAAATCACACACATTTCTCTTGACAGTTTCTTCATGAGTTGTGTCGACTGGATCACACCAATCAAATTCAAGATTCGATATGTATGCATACATGTTCTTCCACCTAGGCAACAATACGCTCGTTTGTATAGCATCCCTCATGCTCAACAATGAGATGATAGTATTAAAAACATCATCTGGCAACTTACTGATGTGATCCTTGTCAATGATTTGGCATTTACGCTACATGATAAAGGAAATTCAAATTTAAGCATGTAAGAAAGAGCACGTTGTCTAACCAAGTCAACTAAACCCTACTCTGCATAATTATGCTATCATTTAAATGAACTTAGATAAATTTCTTTGTAGCTTAGCATAATTTAGTATAATTATCTTATCGTTTATGAAAAAAATCTACATCAAATGGAAAAAAATATGAAGTTATTTGGTTTTGAAATGCAAATAGTAAGAACAAAAGGCCTGGTGGACCAAAACATTGAAACTGGAAAAGGCTGACCTGCTCCTTTAACTCATGGACAGTACTTAGGAATGTGACACACCTTTTCACCACAAAATATGAACTACAGTTGATGAAGGGCCGACTCCTTCCATGTTACTTTATATATGGGTTACGGGGCGGCCCATATATACATTGATTTTTTTTTTCATTTTTATACTAATATATATGCCTTGATTTGTTCAACTAAGGTCAAGCAATATTCTAAGCTGTGGTAGGAGTGGAATTTAGACTATGTTTTGTGTAGAGGATTGGATTGAAATAGATAAATAACTAAATTTAAAGTAAGTTGAAAGGACAAATGAAAAATTTGTTGTTAACTTGGAAGAGTAAAGCTTAGCTACTAATGAAATTTAAGTAATAATGTTTGGGAACTATTATTGGCACTCCATAAATTTAATTGTACACTCCTTATAAAGTTGTTTCTTCAATTAGAGTGGTTTTCCTGATTGGAGTTTGTTTCTTAATTAGAGAAGGATCCATAACTAGATTCCAATTAGGATTAGTATTCCTTATTGAAGATGATCTTTATTATGTCATATATAGAGCTATTGCACTAGTTTTTGAAGAGGAGCAAAACAATAAGTTGTATACCACTTGAGGAGTTAAGTGAGAGAATATTGTAATTTGTAAGAGCAATGTGTGTGTGAGAGAAAATAAGGGATAAAAGTTTATTTCTTGTTCTTATTCTTTCAGATTTGTTGTCAAGTTGTAATTCAAGAGACTGAGCAAAATTCTTTATTGTACTTATTATTAATATAGCGAAAGTTTGTTATTGCTACCAAACTTACATAGCCAAACCACGTAAATAACATGTATACCACGTGTGGTGTTTATTAATTTCCCATTCTTAAACATGGTACTCACAATAATTTATAATCAACTTATTATTATCTCCTTTTTGAAAAATAAAAATGAAATAAACACGCCTACGTGCCCGCCTTGTGCCATTATCGACGGTATAGTACAACATACTAGACCCTAGCTAGATTCTTTTGTTCCTTGTCTTTCTATGCCAAAATAATCATACAAAAGAAACTCAGAACATGTTAATCAGTGTTGAGTATTACAGTATAGTGGTATTCTTCTTTACTTGTATTTGTAAGTGAGAGATTTTAGTTTGATTCTAGCCAAAAACAAACTTAAAATACATTATTGTTTGCCCATTATGAAGTTTAGCTCACTCTCCTATCTCTAGGTGTAAATCATATCTTTTGTTTCGAGGAAAAAAAAGAACATGATGATCAGTATCGATGAAAAATAAATTAATACGAAATTTACATATGTGATTGTAATTCAGTTTTTGTTACGTGACAAATAAACATTCCACGCAAACTACAACCATTTGATAGATTATGACCTACCACAAGCCATGCATGTGTAGGAGGAGTTGCACTGCATCTGCTTGCACTCAGAGTCCCAGTCTCCCAGAGCCATCCGTTACAGCAAAGACACAAAGAGAAAATTAAATGTGCAGAACCAATATTTTAGATTTTACTGCATGACTCTATATCATCATACATACGTTCAATCCTTCAATCCACGATCCAAAAGAAAACATCATTCATTTATGTTACTGCGCCTGTAGAGACACCACACTCGACAAAAACCTATTGAAGTGCACTCGCTCATTTTTTAACAACTTGAAGTCAGGTCTTTTTTTTTCAACTATTACAGATAAAAAAGTAATGGAAAAAATTTGTACGATGTGCGTGTACTGTATACTGTATCTTTATCTCCACCCAAGGAGATACGGGATGGAATATCCCTATGAGCGACTGTGCTAATCATTATATGTTTTGGCCACGTCCGTTTACGCTTTAAAGAGGAAGGTTAGATCTTTCAATCTTATGTTGTGAGGGATGTGACGTATGTTAGGTCCATAAGTACCCCAACTTTTGATGTTCTATGATTCACCTCCGAATATGTACATTATATAATTAATGTGTGCATGGGTTTGAGGGGGTTGTAGTTAAATCTTTTGTCTCGTGATAAACCTTCTCTTAGAATTTTGGGTTTAGGGTAATTAGTGATAGATAGCCTACACTTTATATATGAATACGTTAGCTAATAGCACTTATTACCGATCCTATGTTTACTACTATCATGTTTCGTGGTTTTCAATATTTAGTACATCAAATTTTTTTGTCCCAGAGTCATACCTAAAGTGTAAATTTTGGGACAGTCTCATACGTCTGTTAGTTAAACTATTAAGTCTCCCCTTAACTGATGATGTGGCGCCTATGGGACAATGACTAGGCGCCACGTGTCAATAGGGGGCCCACTTGAATATTAAAAAAATTGAAAATTAAAAATTGAAAAATACAAAAAAAAAAAAAAAAAAAAAAAATCCCTCCGTCTCCTACCTCCCCCATCCTCCTCCCTCCTTTCCTTCCTCTGCAACCCGCACCTCCCTCCATTCCCTCTCTCTTCTGCAACCCGCAGCACCTCCACCATTCCTCTCCACACCACCACCTCATCCACCATTCCTCTCCCAAGCCCCGTGAGACCAGAATCGCCCCCGACCCTCTTCCTTTTCCCTACCGAGAAGCAATCAAAAACCAAAACAATAAAATTCAAAACATTCCCACAAAAGGAAATTTCCCGAAAATCCCATCTTACGAAATCGGTACTTCCGAAACACGAAAAGGAAGAGGAACTCGACTAACCCTAGCTTTCGTACTGCAATCACACACAAAGACAATCGGAGATGGAAGACCAACACCAAAATTGAACCCGAAAGGATAATCGAAGTCGGAG